GCCTCCCAAAGTGCTGGGATTACAGGCTTGAGCCACCGTGCCCGGCCAACATGCTTATTTTTAGAATGGAAATAATGAGGACGTAAAAACCTGAATGGAAGTCCTTTGTAAAGCTCGTTGATAGAACTCAACGAGTTAATGGTTTGGCAGGTAGTCTTCCAGACTTTCCTAGTGGCTGCGTATTATACATATTCTCTCCTAACTGGGCTCATTCTATACAGTACTCTTCTGCTGCTTGATTTTTTTTCCTTTCTTTCTAGAGACAGGGGTCTCACTCGGTTGCCCAAGCTGGAGTGCAGTGACACCATCATAGCTCACTGCAGTCTCGAACTCCTGGGCTCAAGAGACCCTCCAGCCTCAGCCTCCCGAGTAGCTGGGACTACCAGTGTGTGTCACCATACCTAGATAGCTTTTAAATTTTTTGTAGAGGTGGTGTTTTTCCATGTTGCCCAGGCTGGTTTGGAACTCTTGGGCTCAAGCAATCCTCCTACCTTGGCCTCCCAAACAATCCTCCTACCTTGAACCTCCCACAGTATTGGGATTACAGGCATAATCCACTGTACCTGGCTTGATTTTTTCTTTCTTTTTTTTTTTTCTTTTTGAGACAGAGTCTCACTCTTTTGAGACAGAGTCTTGCCCAGTCTAGAGTGTAGTGGCGTGACTTCAGCTCACTGCAACTTCCGTCGTTCAGGTTCAAGTGATTCTCCTGTCTCAGCCTCCCACGCTGGGACTACAGGCACGCACCACCACCTCCAGCTAATTTTTGTATTTGTAGTAGATGGGGTTTCTCCATGTTGGCCAGGCTGGTCTCAAACTCCTGACCTCCGGTGATCCGCCTGCCTAGGCTCCCAAAGTGCTGGGATCACAGGCATGAGCCACCGCGCCACCACACCCGGCCTCCAGTTTGTCTTTATACACACATGACATTTTGGTGAATATCCACATCCTTATGGCTTTGAAAGTCTTCTGCTGACATTTCTGCAGGATACATTTCTGTTTTTTTGTTTTTTGAGATGGAGTTTTGCTCTTGTTGCCCAGGCTGGAGTTCACTGGCACAATTTCAGCTCACTGCAACCTCTGCCTCCTGGGTTCAAACGATTCTCCTGCCTCAGCCTCTCGAGTAGCTGGGATTACAGGGGACCGCCACCATGCCCAGCTAACTTTTTGTATTTTTAGTAGAGACGGGGTTTCATCATTTTGGCCAGGCTGGTCTCAAACTCCTGACCTCAGGTGATCCACCTGCCTTGGCCTCCCAATTGCTGGGATTACAGGTGTGAGCCACCGCGCCCTGCCAGGATACATTTCTTGAAAGGGAATTCCTAGGAAAAAATAATACGTGTTTTTAAAAATTGCTGCCCCCAAAGAGTTATGATACTTAAGTTTACTATAACAATGTAACTAAATGATCCCATCCTTGAACGTTCTGTAAAACCTATCCACCTTCCTTTGTCTGCTTTTGTCTGTAATATAACCCGGACTCTGGTGGTGGTGGTTCATGTGAGAGTTTTAGGAAGATTAATCTTTCTGTCTGGCTTTAAGACAAAGACCGCCCTACAGCTAGTGTGTCACAGCTGAGCCTTCTGTTCTAAAGTCGTTTGTCATCTTGTCATTTTCAGATGACTGGCACCGTTGGTTTAACAGGAAAAAAACCTCTTTCAGAGAAGCATCTGCAGGGCCCGAGCCTCAGGAGAGTGGCTCTGAAGAGCACCTGCCTCTGAGCCAGTTCACCACGGTGGACCGTGAAGCCATTTGGGCCGAAGTGGAGAAGGAGCCCGAGAAGTACCCGCCACGAGGCGAGCTGAGCGAGGAAGAGCTGCCCTACTACGTGGAGCTTCCAGACAGGACGGCCCACGGCGCCCCAGACAGCAGCGAGCACACCGAGTCCGCAGACACGAGCTCTGGCCACACGGACAGCGAGAACACGTCCTCCTTCTCCTCCCCTTCCCACGACCCGCAGGAGCTGAGCAATGAAGAGAACTGCTGTGCGCCCATCCCCATGGGAGGCAGGGCATACCCCAAGCGCTCGGCCCTGCTGGCGGCCTTCCAGTCAGAAAGCTTCAAGGCTGGGGCCAAGTTAAGCCTGGTGCGGGTGGACTCGGACAAGACGCAGGCTTCTGAGTCGTTCTCCAGCGATGAGGAGGCCGACTTGGAGCTCCAGGCCCTCACTACGTCCAGGCTGCTGAAGCAGCAGCGGGAAAGGCAGGAGGCCGTCGAGGCCTTGTTCAAGCACATCCTGCTCTACCTGCAGCCCTACGACTCTCGGCGGGTCCTCTATGCCTTCTCGGTGCTGGAGGCTGTGCTCAAAACCAACCCTAAGGAGTTCATCGAGGCCGTGTCCAGGACTAGCATGGACACCAGCTCCACCGCGCACCTCAACCTCATCTCCAACCTCCTGGCTCGCCACCAGGAGGCCCTTATTGGCCAGAGTTTCTACGGAAAGCTCCAGACCCAGGCCCCCAACGTGTGCCCCCACTCTCTGCTCCTGGAGCTGCTCACCTACCTCTGCCTGAGCTTCCTGCGCTCCTACTACCCCTGCTATTTGAAGGTGACGCACCGAGACATCCTCGGCAACCGGGACGTGCAGGTCAAAAGTGTCGAGGTTTTGATCAGGATCATGACGCAGCTGGTCTCGGTGGCCAAGTCTTCGGAAGGGAAGAACGTGGAATTCATCCACAGCTTGCTGCAGAGGTGCAAAGTTCAGGAGTTCGTCCTGCTCTCCCTGTCGGCGTCCATGTACACGAGCCAGAAGCGCTACGGGCTGGCCACCGCCCACCACGGCAGGGCCGTGCCGGAGGACAGCCTCTTTGAGGAGAGTCTCATCAACTTGGGTCAGGACCAGATCTGGAGTGAGCACCCACTGCAGATTGAGCTGCTGAAGCTGCTGCAGGTGCTGATTGTCTTGGAGCACCACCTAGGCCGGGCCCACGAGGAGGGGGAAAACCAGCCGGACCTGTCCCGGGAGTGGCAGAGAGCCCTGAACTTCCAGCAGGCCATCAGCGCCCTGCAGTACGTGCAGCCGCACCCCCTCACCTCCCAGGGGCTGCTGGTCTCTGCGGTGGTGAGGGGTCTGCAGCCCGCCTACGGCTACGGCATGCATCCCGCCTGGGTGAGCTTGGTCACGCATTCCTTGCCCTACTTCGGAAAGTCCCTGGGCTGGACAGTGACACCCTTTGTTGTCCAGATTTGCAAAAACTTGGATGACTTGGTCAAGCAGTATGAAAGCGAATCTGTGAAGCTCTCTGTCAGGTGCGTTGTGCTCTTTGTGACATGTTTATTGCTTTAGTGATGGTTTTTATAACAAATGACTGTTTTGCCACAGATGTCGGTTGGAGGATAATTTCATCCCACCGAGAAGCCTGTTTAGCATTGTCGAGAAGGGTAGCAGGCAACTAAATGTTCTGATATTTTATTTTATATTATTTTATTTTATTTTGTATTTTATTTTATTTATTATATTGTATTTTATTTTATATTTTATTTTATTTTATTTATTTTTGAGACGGAGTCTCTGTCACCCAGCCTGGAGTGCAGTGGTGTGATCTCAGCTCACTGCAACCTCTGCCTCCCGGGTTCAAGCAATTCTCCTGGCTCAGCCTTCCAAGTAGCTGGGAGTACAGGCGCCTGCTGCCACACCTGGCTAATTTTTTGTATTTTAGTAGAGACGGGGTTCCACCGTGTTGCCCATGCTGGTCTTGAACTCCTGAGCTCAGGCAATCCACCTGCCTTGGCCTCCCAAAGTGCTGAGGCGCTAGAGTGAGCCCCACTGTACCCAGCCCTGATCCTTTATGTTAAATCCACACAGGTATCCAGTCTAGCTCAGTGTTGCAGGGCATGTCAGCTGCTCTCTACTATTTTTGCAAAACAGAAATAAAAATGTGAATCATCTTCACAGAAATTCTAAAACATTGAAACTATTTTTCCAAAGTGACTATATGAATGTAAAATTGCACAAAGGATGGTTAACATTATTATAATGATATTCCATGACGAGAGCTCCAGTTTATTTGAGATGGTGATCTCTCTCTAGTTCCTGTGTTTATATGTAGGATTAGAAACCCTTATGGCCTCATTCTTTAAAAATTCTCAAACCAATTTCTCTTTTCTTCACCACAGCACAACCTCCAAGAGGGAAAATATTTCTCCAGATTATCCACTCACCCTTTTAGAAGGTCTGACAACTATTAGTCATTTTTGTCTTTTGGAACAAAACAACCAAAACAAAAAGGTAAATTTTTTTTTCCTGAGTTCAAGGCAATTTTCATGTATTGTTTTGTCTTTGGTTTATGACTGTTTCAAATAAGTAACATATGTATGTAATGTATGTAACTAATGTGCATATGGAAGTAATGTAAATGTGTATGCAAATATTACATAAGTCATGTACACATGTATGCAAATGCATGTGTGTTAGCAATGCAAGTATATATGCAAATGCGTATGCAAATGCATGTGTATAATTAACGCAAATGCATGTGTATAAGTAATGTATGTATGTCAGCCATGAAAACATAGTTTTCTTCCTGCTGGCAATCCCTGTGCCAGCCCTTTGCCCATTGTTCCATCATTAGCCTATGAGATAACGTATAAAGCCACTTGTTTGATTTTTAGGCTTATAGTCATCTTTTTCCACATATTTTTTACTTTCTGTCACAGTGTTCGTGAAATCTGCGTTGGCAGACATTTTAGCTTGGTTATTCTACCCTGTGTGGGATTAAGTCTTAGAATCCATCTAACAGTTTGGTTGAGTGGTTGAAAAGTTTGTAATTTGGAACATCAGACTCACAGCTGTCTCTGTGAAAGAGAACCATGGGTTGAAATGCACAGGGAAGCTTATTGCTCCCACACCACCACATGTATGAGTTGCTTAGAAGAGAGTCCAACAGCCCAGACTTAATCCCGCCAGCCCTGCTGCCCTTATGGGAAGAAAAACCATTCCATAGACAAAGCCGGCCTCATGTATTCATTTTAATTTTTAGACCATGGCCACAGGTGATCCTGCCAACTTGAGGAATGCCAGAAATGCCATCTTGGAAGAGCTGCCTCGAACTGTTAACACCATGGCCCTTCTCTGGAATGTTCTCAGAAAGGAGGAGACTCAAAAGAGACCTGTCGATCTCCTAGGGGCCACAAAGGGATCCTCTTCCGTTTACTTTAAAACCACCAAAGTAAGAGGATGTCTCTGTAGTTCTGTCATTTACTTGGTCTTGTATTGTTCCACCCAAAATAAATATGTATAGGAAAGTGTGCATAATAAACAGATGTGCTCAATGAAACCCAAGTCAGAGGTCAGAAGTAGAAATCTCTGGTTCGTTTGTTATCAGTAAGTTTCCTATACCTTAAATGGAGGAGTCCGAGTGGTTTCAGCCTGTTTTCTTCTAGTTTTCCATTCGCCTTATTTTGTAGTTAAACATAAAGCCTTGGCTGGGCACAGTGGCTCACACCTGTAATCTCAGCACTTTGGGAGGCCCAGGCGGATGGATCACCTGAGGTCGGGAGTTCAAGAACAGCCTGGTCAACATGGTGAAACCCTGTCTATACTAAAAATACAAAAATTAGCCATGTGTGGTAGCACGTGTCTGTAATCCCAGCTACTCAGGAGGCCGAGGCAGGAGAATCGCTGGAACCCAGTGAGCCAAGATCACACCATTGCACTCCAGTGTGGGCAACAGAGCAAAACCCCATCTCAAAAATAATAATAAATAAATAAATAAATAAAATCTCTAGAGCTAGGCACGGTGGCTTATGCTTGTAATCCCAGCACTTTGGGAGGCCAAGATGGGTGATGCTTGAGCTCAGGAGTTCGAGACCAGCCTGGCCAACATGGCAAAACCCCATCTCTACAAAAAATACAAAAATTAGCTGGATATGGTGGCAGGCGCCTGTAGTCCCAGCTACTCAGGAGGCCGAGGCAAGAGGATTGCTTGAGCCCAGGAGGTGGAGGTTGAAGTGAGCTGAGATCATGCCAGTGCACTCCAGCCTGGGCGACAGTGAGACCCTGTCTCAAAAAAAATAGTCTCCAGTGGTTCAAGGCGGGGGTACCTAGATCCTCACCTCCAAATGATTTAGAGACCCAAGTCTTGAGTCTCTAAAGCATTTCTGCTGGACAGCTCATCTCTGTTCTGCTTTTAGTGGTGCCTATCAAACGTGGCCCCATCAGTATGGAATGTCAGGGTGCCTTTGGTTCTTAAACCAAAAATGTACAACCATGAATATTTATATTATAGTTTAGTCTTCTTCCATTTTCAGTGTCTGCCTCAGAAGGCCGTAGGCGCAGGACTCGGTCGCTCACCATCTGTGTTACTGTGTGTGGTGTCTCAGAATTATCTGCCACATCTGACATCAGTTGAGTGCCCCCAGGTGCCATCTGTGGCCTCAGGGATGAGCCTTGCCATCCTGCGTTTAGGTGCCATGGTGCACAGGTGGCCTCCAGACATTCTGTCGATTCCAAGGGTGCCCTAGAAGGGAGTTCTGTATTTCAAGCTTCTACAAGAACCTGCTCTTAAAAAGATTCAGAAAACCTTTTTTCTCACTCAGGAAAAAAAGATTTTCTAAACCTTTTTTAGAGGATCTTCCTGTAGCACTCAGCCTCTCTGAGCCTCCATTTCCTCTTCTGTTAAACCAGGCTGTGGCTAGCATCCTATCCTCATGGGTTGGTGGGAAGAGTAATTACGATAAAGGCTGATGCTCATTAGGCACTTAACTCTTAGCCCTCCCTGAGGAACTCAGGGCCGAGGAGCGGGATCCCCCATTAGTCCCTCTAGAGCGGAAACCATGGTGGAAAGGAGGGGACAGCTCCATGCTGACTCAGTTGTATCTAATGTGGAATAAACATGGGCAGTTGACACAGGAAGCGCTGGGTAAATCCGTCCCTTTGACAAGACGTTTTGTGCCTGCTGCCAAGCACCAGGCTCTCTTGCTTTACCAGGGGACAAGAGAGATGAAGTCCCTGCCCCCTGGCTGTGGCAGACATTAACTGGCGGTGTAATAACGATGTGAGCAAGGCTTCAGAGAAACGCAGGGTTTCCTGAGAATGTGTGAACAGGAGCCCTGGCCTGATCTGGGGTTCCTGAGGCAGCGTGACTTAGCTGAGGCCCCAGGTGGAGAGGATTTAACTAGGGTGGGCATTTCAGGCTGGGAGAGCAGCAGGATTTACAGAGCGAGGAACGTGGCAGGAACACAGAGAAATTCATCAGTAGCAAAGCGGAAGGTGGTGAGTGACATCGGGACCATGTTACAGGTTTAATTAAATTGATTACATGATAAAATTAGTTAAATGGTGCTTATTTCTGGAAATTGAGCAAGAACTTTCCTAATGAGTATAAGCCCTCCATCGCAGCTGATGGAGTCAAGCTGAGGCTGTGGGATTTCCAGATGGAAACAGTGCTGCAAAGCCTTGCCGGCCTTCCTGCAAGACCCCTGCTGTGTTCACAGCAGCAAGGGTGAAACTCATCATCTCCCGAGATGCTCCTGGCCAATCGAGCTGGCCCTCACTCTTTCCACCTGGCCAGTCAAGCTGGCCATCCGTCTCTCCACCTGGCCAATAAGCTGGTCGTCCGTCTCCCAACCTGGCCAGTCGAGCTGGCCGTCCGTCTCTCCACCTTGGCCGTTCACTGCTCCTTCCCCCCAGCATGACACGCCACCATCACACATCCAACTCCTTCCAGAAAGGGTTCTGATTCCTCCCTTTGCTGGGATCCACCCATCAGGGAAGCACCTCAGCACAGCATTGGGCACGAACATGACAGGGCCCTTGATCTCGGGAATGGACAGCAGGTGCTGGTTCAATGTATAGGATGCCGTAGCCCCAATATTACCCCGCAGTAACTTTTTTTTTTCCTATTTTCTAGACCATAAGACAGAAAATTTTAGACTTCTTAAACCCCTTGACGGCCCATCTTGGGGTTCAGTTGACAGCAGCTGTTGCGGCAGTGTGGAGCAGAAAGAAAGCCCAGCGTCACAGTAAGATGAAGGTAAAGTTTAAAAAGTTAGAGGAGCAGTTAAACTTACCGTGACAAAGAAATACCACAGAATCATGTGGAGTCAAAGGTGACATTGGAGGCCAGCATGGGAAACTATTGAGTTGATTTAATCATTTTATCGATTTGAGATGGAGTCTCTCTCTTGTCACCCAGGCTGGAGTGCAGTGGTGCGATCTTGGCTTGCTGCAACCTCCACCTCCTGGGTTCAAGTGATTCTTCTGCCTCAGCCTCCCAAGTAACTGGAATTGTAGGTGCCCACCACCATGGCCAGCTAATTTTTGTATTTTTTAGTAGAGACAGGGTTTCACCATGTTGGCCAAGCTGGTCTCGTACTCCTGACCTCGTGATCCGCCCACCTCGGCCTCCCAAGGTGCTGGGATTACAGGCGTGAGCCCAAAGATTAATTTCAGTTTGCATTTTGCCCATTCTTTATCCACTTGACTGGTCCACCATGAAGTCCTGCAGGGGTTGGCCTACTGTTTTCAACCTCAGTCCTCTTTGTTCCTTCCCACCCCTGCTCCATCCCCTGCTCAGGGTCTGCTGCTGCACCTCCTGGACACTCCCCCAGTGCTCAGCCTCTGTGGCTGACATGGGCACCTGTTCTCTGAGGAAGGGTCAGTGGTCGGTGTCCGATGCCACCCTCCTGAGCACCTGTGGGCTCCTTCCCTGGTGAGGAGCCTGGCACTAGTTGTTGTTCTTCCAAATGCCCGTGACCAGGGTGTGCAGACTTACGTCATCAAAAATATGCCTCCCATACCAGGCCTTTCCTTCCAAGGCCAGCAAATGGGAGTCTGGTTTATCTGTTTTTCCTTCCTGTCTTCGTATTTTTGATTCCACCGCTTGTTTCCTTCAAATTTAGTATATATGTTTCTAAAATGCTTTCTACTAAATTCAAACAAACCACTATTACAGCCCCATCAGGGACTGCACCTTTTATTCCTAATTTGTATCAAATTATGTTGTTCCCATGGGTGGAGCCTTTACTTAGTTCAATAGGAAATGTTTGTTTAAGAGATTAAAACAGACTGGGCGTGGTGGCTCACACCTGTAATCCCAGCACTTTGGGAGACCCAGGCGGGTAGATCACCTGAGATCAGGAGTTTGAGACCAGCCTGGCCAACATGGCGAAACTCTGTCTCTACTAAAAATACAAAAATTAGCCAGGCATGTTGGTGGGCATCTGTAATCCCAGCTACTCAGGAGGCTGAGGCAGGAGAATCGCTTAAACCTGGGAGGCAGAGGTTGCAGTGAGCCGAGATCACGCCACTGCACTCCAGCCTGGGTGACAGAGCAAGACTCTGTCTCAAAAAAAAAAAAAAAAAAGATGAAAGCAGATTGATTTCTCCAGGGACGGCTACTATAGAATACTTTTTGTACATCATCCTTATTTAAGCTTTCAAGGAATTTTTTTTTTCTTGGCAGATTATCCCAGCGGCGAGTGCATCCCAGCTGACCCTTGTCGACTTGGTGTGTGCACTCAGCACCCTGCAGACTGACACGTTGCTGCACCTGGTGAAGGAGGTGGTGAAGAGGCCACCCCAAGTCAAAGGGGGTGACGAGGTAAGGAGGCTGGGGAGTCCTCTAGGCTTCTGTAGATGAGTGGGTGGCATTCGTCATAACTCTACTTCCTTATAAATTGTGTTTGGGAGGGAAAGATAGGTAACAAGAGTAAGTGGGACTGCTTGGGGTAGTGAAGTGGAGGTGCTGTTTGCTGTGCTTTGGGGGAGACCTATGAAGATTTGGTGCTCCTTTTTTAAGGTGGGAACTGCCTGAGGTCAGGGGCTCTCATCCTTGTACCCTGCTGCTGAGGACACTGCCTGGTACACGCCTTCTGGGCACTAAATGGAATAAAATCTTTAGAAAGGGGAAAGGGCACCTGCCTCAAGGAACTTGCAGCTGTAAAGATGTCAAAGAGGAACAAAACCAGACTCTAGTGAAAGGTGGTAAAGACAGATGTGATTCAGTAACCACTGCGGTAAGGGGAAGTGCTGGGTTCAGTTTAGATTTGTGTGGAGATGACTGGGAAAGGATGAGGGAGGAGGGAGGAGAAGGAGCAGGGATTTAAGGAGAGTTGGAGAAGTAGAAAATTACAAAAGAGCAGGCAGGGAGGCTGCTCAGTCCATAGATGTGATTAGGCCATCTGGGTTTGCTAACTGGGGCTTATCCAAATGAGGCTCCTACCCTCCCACAGAGGCTGGGAGATCAAGACTCTGTCTTTCTCAGTGATTCTATTTCAAAGGGATGGCTCCCAGGTCCTTGAGAAACACATTCCTAGGCTGTGGGAGACACATACACATCTCAAAGGGACAGAGAAAGTATTTATCATTGTAAACTTAAAATGCTCTGAGAAAGGGAGGTCAGGGGCCTCTCTGCAGGTGTTGGCAGGAACAAACAGTAAATTCTTTGGCAACCTTGAGCTTTCTTGGGCAGGCGTTTGAAGAGTACTGGTGTCCCCATCCTAGGGATCCATGCTGGTGGTGTTTGCTCAAGTCCCTTGATGTGGGGGTGGACAGAATCATTTGTCAAGCAGAGGGCTCAGAGGAGCCTAGCTAGAGTCAGCTCAAGGAGAGAGTCTTTGTCAAGGGCAAACTAAAATTTGCGTACCTTTTTTTTTTTTGAGAGAGAGTCTCACACTGTCATCCAGGCTGGAGTGCAGTGGTGCGATCTCAACTCACTGCAACCTCCACCTCCTGGGCTCAAGTGATTCTTGTGCCTCGGCCTCCCGGGTAGCTGGGAGTGCAGGTGCATGGAAGTCTCACTTTGTCATCCAGGCTGCAGTGCAGTGGCACAATCACAGCTCACCATAGCCTCGACCTCCCCACACTCAAGTGATATTCTCAAGTAGCTGAGACCACACGTGCACACCACCACGCCTGACTAATTTTTATATTTTTTGTAGTGACGGGGTTTGCCATGTTGCCCAGACTGGTCTGGAACTCCTAGGCTCAAGCAATCCTCCTGCCTCGGCCTCCCAAAGTGCTGGGATTACGGGCGAGAGCCACCATGCCTGGCTGCATAATTTTTTATAAAAGTAGAAAATAAATGTCAGAGAACATAAGTCATGATAGACACTCTGAGAAAGAGATTTCATCTGGCTGCTGTGAAACAGAAACCTTCAGGGTGATGTCATTGAACCAAGAAGTTCCTTGTAATTTTTCTGCTCAATTTCATTACAGCAGCCTGGAGGGCCCAGGTCGTCTAGAGAGCTTCTTCAGTCATACACAGTGAATTTAAAACAGGGCAAGCTGTGTGGTTTAATATTTGCATTCCCTTAGAGTCTTCTGTTTTTGTTTTTACCAAAGCAGACTTCATCATTGAAAGCAGCAGAGCCGTTTTGCTCTTAAGTTAATAAAAACCAGGGATTTATTTCAATCTTGAAATAATTGCCTTCTGTCAAACAATTTAAAATCATACAGCTAGCAAAAATTTAAGAATAATCTAAATGAAAATTAGGGGGCCTGGGCATGGTGGCTCATGCCTGTAATCCTAGCACATTAGTCCAGGAGTTCAAGACCAGCCTGGGCAACGTAGGGAGACACCGTCTCTACAATAAATTAAAAAATTAGCTGGGGGTGGTAGTGCACACTTGTAGCCCCAGCTAATTGGGAGGCTGAGGCAGGAGGATCAGTTGAGCACACGAGTATGAGGTTGTAGTGAGCTATGATGGAGCCATTGCACTCCAGCCTGGGTGACAGAGTGAGACCCTGTCCACAAAAAAGAAAATTTGTGCAATGGAAAAGTGATTATTAAAAAATATAGCTTTACTTGAACAGATGTTTGTGTGCTGATGTTCATAGCAGCATTATTCACAGCAGCCAAAAGGCAGAAGCAATCCATGTGTGTATCAGTGGGTGCACAGATAACAAAGTGAGATCTGTGCATGTAGTGGGTTAGTGCTCAGCTTTAACAGGAATGAAATTCTGACACGTGCTACAACATGGATGTCAGATCCTTAACATGGATGAACCTTTTTTTTTTTTTTGAGATGGAGTCTCGCTCTGTTGCCCAGGCTGGAGTGCTGTGGCACAATCTTGGCTCACTGCAAGCTCTGTCTCCTGGGTTCATGCCATTCTCCTGCCTCAGCCTCCCGAGTACCTGGGAGTACAGATGCCCGCCACTGCGCCCGGCTAATTTTTTGTATTTTTAGTAGAGATGGGGTTTCACTGTGTTGGCCACGATGGTCTCGATCTCTTGACCTCGTGATCCACCTGCCTTGGCCTCCCAAAGTGCTGGGATTACAGGCGTGAGCCCTCGCGCCTGGCGAGATGGATGAACCTTGAAGACATTAAGTTGAATGAAGTAAGCCAGTCACAAGAGGACTAACACAGTTCTATATCTGGGAAAAAAAAAAAAAGAAACTCAACTGTGTCCTCCCTCAACAACATAACAATCAACACAGAAGACCTCTTACCGCAGATATGCGGGGAGTTCTCCCCACCAGCAGGCAAGCAATTGAGTCCGCAGTGGACACCAGTTGGGTGTCCTCCAATTCGATTCCTACTCTATCTGCTTGGAGACAGTGTGAGATCCCACAGGGTAAGGACTCAGTCCCAAGAGCACCCTCAACTTCAGACACCAGTCACGAGTCCGGGCCTCTGGAACTTCTGACTGACCAGCTTCAAGTTGGGATTCCCACGAACCCCCTCTTTGGGTTCAATTAATTTGTCAGAGCAGCTTGCAGAACTCCAGAAACACATTTACTGGTTTATTATAAAGGCCACTACTCAGGATACAGATGAAGGGGTGCATAGGGCGAGGCATGGGGGAAGAGGTGCGGAGCTCCCACACCCTCCGTGGGCACAGAACCTTCATGTGCTCTGCTCTCCAGAAGCTCACCAAACCCAGTCCTCTTGGGCCTCTTATGGAAACTTCACTGGATGGGCATGACTAAAGCATGGACAACCGTGTCGAAATGTGACTGGACAAAAAGAATGTGATCTAATACTTAATACAGTGACTGGGGAAACCCAGTAGGGCCTGCCTGTTCAGATTCTTCTTGGCCTGTCTGCACAGCACTCCTTCCTCCAGGGTGTGGGACAGGACCCTCCCCAGAATGAGAGTCTTATGAACCATAGTCAGATTAGAGTCCTGCCTTGGGACAAGTAAAAGGAGGGCAGGAGTTATGAACCAAGAACTGGACAGAAACACATTAAAAAAAATAGGGAGGTAGGCAGGAAGACAGGTAGGTAGGTAGGTAGACAGATAGATAGATAGATAGATAGATAGTAGACAGATAGATAGATAGATAGATCGATAGAAGTAGGTAGGTAGGTAGGTAGATGTAGGTAGGTCGGTAGGTAGATAGATGTAGGTAGGTAGATAGGTAGATAGGTAGATAGATAGATAGAAGTAGGTAGGTAGATAGATGTAGGTAGGTAGGTAGATGTAGGTAGGTAGATGTAGGTAGGTAGATAGATGTAGGTAGGTAGGTAGATGTAGGTAGGTAGATAGATGTAGGTAGGTAGGTAGATAGATAGATAGAAGTAGGTAGGTAGGTAGGTAGATAGATATTATGATTTTAGAGTGTTAAAGGGTGGCTCACTCCTGTAATCCCAACACTTTGGGAAGCCGAAGCAGGGAGATTGCTTGAGGCCAGAAGTTCAAGACCAGCCTGGGCAACAAAGTAAAACCCTGACTCTCCAAAAAAAAAAAAAAAGAAAAGAAAAAAAATTAGCCAGGCATGGTAGTACCCACCTGTAGCCTCAGCTACTTGGGAGGCTGAGGTGGGAGAATCACTTGAGCCAGGGAAGTTGAGGCTGCATTGAGCCAAGATCACACCACTGCACTCTAGTACAGAGCAAGACCCTGTCTCAAAACGAAAGAAATACTTTTTTTTTTTCACATCAGACAGGTCATGTGCCGACCATTGTAACAAGGCTTGAGGGTGGCACATCTCACACGTGCACATGAACACCCAATCATCACACTCATGAACTACAGATGGACCAGAAGACTTTTTTTCAGCCTCACATATGACGCAGGGCAGCCCGCTATAGAAATGTCCAGGCCCCGAGGGCCTGGCCGTTGGGCATCACCCAGCTGGTTATCCTCCAGCCCCTGGTCTCTTCCTTTGTTCCAGTGTTGATCGACAATGCCCTATGCGCACTGAGTGGTGTGGTGGAGACTAAATAGTGAAAAGAACAGTTCCTGCCCTCAGTCCTCCTATATTCTAGCTTGGCAAAGAAGAGAGAAGAGAAGCGAAGCCATCCTAAAAAATAACAACACTGTGAGGCCAGGCTATGGAGCCGGCTCAGTAACACCACGGCGAGGCCGGGCTGCGGAGCCGGCTCAGTGCTTAAGGCACCAAATGTAAAAGGACCCCAATAACTCCCACAGTATTTCTTGGGGATCTGGCCCAGGTCTCCCAATCTCCCAAGAACGTATGGTCGTCCTGTTGCCTTTCACTTTTGTTTTTTTTTTGTTTTTTTTTTTTTGAGACAGAGTCTCGCCCTGTCGCCCAGGCTGATCGCAGCTCACTGCAAGCTCCACCTCCCGGGTTCACGCCATTCTCCTGCCTCAACCTCCCGAGTAGCTGGGACCACAGGCGCCCACCACCGTGCCTGGATAATTTTTTGTATTTTTAGTAGAGACGGGGTTTCACCGTGTTAGCCAGGATGGTCTCGATCGCCTGACCTCATGATCCACTGGCCTTGGCCTCCCAAAGTGCTGGGATTACAGGCGTGAGCCACTGTCCCCCGCCTTTTTTTTTTTTTTTTTTGAGGTGGAGTCTCGCTCTCAAAAAGAGAGCCAGGCTATCAGGAGTCAGGCTGGAATGCAGTGGCGTGATCTTGGTTCACTGCAACCTCTACCTCCTTGGTTCAAGCGGTTCTCCTGCCTCAGCCTCCTGAGTAGCTGGACTTACAGGCTTGCGCCACCATGCCCAGTTAATTTTTTTGTATTTTTAGTAGAGATAGGGTTTCGCCATGTTGGCCAAGCTGGTCTTGAACACCTGACCTCAAGTGATCCACCCGCCTTGGCTTCCCAAAGTGCTGGGATTACAGGCGTGAACCACCACACTTGGCCTCTTTTCACTCTTGTCCATAAATGTTAGGAGTGGGAATGACACGCCACAGGGCAGTCTGTGCCACTGCAGGCTTGGTGGCCGTAGAACCAAGGGGTTCTTCGAGGGGCTGTCCTGAAGACAGCTCTGCAGAGGCTGTGACAGCCAGAGCGAGTGTTTTTAGGTTGTGTTCCTTCACATTACTTGAATTTCTACAAATACCTGCAATTTCTAGTCTTTCCTGGGCTATAAAGGAACTGGATTTTATCTAGCTGACTGGTTTTTGGCGGTTCAAATAACAAAACTACATTTTGTGGTTAGTTTAGTTAATTAATAGCTGCAAATAGCTTTTTACAAGCAAGGAGCGGGGGAAACGTGTGTTTTGGAACTTGTTTCCAAGTAGTTCCAGCCGCAGGGTTTTTGGGGAAACTGTCTGGGTTGGGTTTGAAGTAATCTTCTAAACTAAGAATTAGAATTTTTTGGCTGGGTATGGTGGCTCTACTTGGGAGGCTGAGGCATGAGGATCACTTGAACGAGGGAAGCAGAGGTTGCAGTGAGCTGAGATTGCACTAGCGTACTCCATCCTGGACAACAGAACAAGACTCTTGTGTCAAAGAGAAAGAGAAAGAGACAGAGAAAGAAAGGGAGGGAGGGAGAGAGGAAAAGAAAAGAGAAGAGAAGAGAGAAGCAAAAGAATTAGAATTTTGTCTTGTCTCTTGGTAATCATGTGCATTCATTGGAGTCAACACTGGCCCTAGCTCTCTGTTTGGGGAAGTTCAGTTACAATACTGATTTTCCCTAAATGCTTCCTGATGCCTGGCATGGAAAGGGGGTACACAGGATGGGAGATCACTGTAGACGTCTAAGGGGGCGCGAATGATTTGGGGGCTCCTAGGACACACTTATTTTAATTGTACATGATGGGCACTATCATGTCTGTTGTTTTATCTGAAAGATTCTTTAGTCGAAAACCTTTGCTTTGTTAGGCTGTAGATCTGTTTCACTTTGTGTCTGAATTCTTTTTAGCCTTATTTCCCACCAACCCGGAGTAACTGATTTTACTTTCATTTTCAGAAATCGCCCCTAGTGGACATTCCTGTGTTGCAATTTTGCTATGCTTTTCTCCAAAGGTAATACAGTCTCCCGTCCTCTAAAAACTTCCTTAAATACAGATACTGTGGCAGTGAGCATGCATAATATCTCTGGTTTTATTTCTAGACTACTAGAGAGCCACAGTTCAGAAAATATCTTAAAGTTGTCATCATTTCTTCCCGAGGTATTGATCTGTACTTTTCCTTCTCCAGAGAGTTAACATCTTAAAATCTGTACACTGTATCTCGAACACTTTATATGAGCAAAGCTTTATGTGAGGCCTATTAAACTTTAAAAGGCTCAGATTTGCATTAAATTGATACAGAAAAAGAAAAAAAAAAAAACACAGATAGGGAAGTGTTAAAGACCTCTTTTAGAAAAAGGAGAAATGGGTGGGGCGCGGTGACTCACGCCTGCAATCCCAGCACTTTGGGAGGCCGAGGCAGGCCGATCACTTGAGGCCAGGAGTTTGAGACCAGCCTGGCCAACATGGTGAAACCCTGTCTCTACTAAAAATACAAACATTAGTTGGGCATGGTGGCATGCACCTGTAATCCCAGCTACTCCGGAGGCTGAGGCAGGAGAACTGCATGAACCTAGGAGGCGGAGGTTGCAGTGAGCCGAGAGCACACCACTGTTCTCCAGCCTGGGTGACAGAGCAAGGCTCTGTCTCAAAAGAAAAAAAATCTGGTGACGTTCTCAGTGTGCCGTCCCGTGTTTGATGCGGAGAAGTCTCGGCTTTGATTTGCTAAGTTGATATAGGTATTAGGTGTCTTAGCCAACAGAGCATTAAAGAGGATTCCCCAGGTTTTTCCCCATGGATGAAAAATAAGCTTTATTGGACCTCATTCAGATCTTACAATGGCCGCATCCCAGGCGCAGCTCTGTGTTGCTGTAAATGAGGGTGAGGGGGCTGGGTGCGGTGGCTCATGCCTATAATCGCGGCACTTTGGGAGACTGAAGTGGGTGGGTCACTTGAGGCCAGGAGTTTGAGACCAGCCTGGCCAATGTAGTAAAACCCCATATCTACTAAAACTACAAAAAAAAATTAGCCAGGGCTTGGTGGTGTCATGCCTGTAGTCCCAGCTACTCAGGAAGCTGAGGCAGGTGAATCACTTGAACCCAGGAGGCAGAGGTTGACGTGAGCTGAGATCACGCCACTGTACTGCAGCCTGGGGGACAGAATGAGAGTCTATCTCCAAAAAAAAAAGGGGGGGTGGTGAGGGAAGTATAGACCACTTCTCAGGGAAGCCTCAGTATCCCTACATAGCCATCAGGAGTCTCACTATAAATAACTCTGACAACCAGGCACAGGCTCCTTGGTTCACACAGTTAACATTCTGTGGTTATTCCCACTCACCACATTCTGAAGTTGCAGGACGGTAAATCGAGGCCTCCTGGTAGATGACCAGGGTGGGGTTAAATTCAGACCACTTCCCCCGTGAGCATCATTGTCGTTCTTTCCTCCAGGAGTTAAAGATGAGCCGGTCACTTCCCTCCTATGACAGCTAATATATGTTGTGTTGCTGGCGAATGTTGACTGTAGGGGCCTAAGGGATAGCCGAGCTTTCCCAGCAGCCGCAGGTTAGATTTGGTCTTCCTCCTTTTGCCAAGGAGGAACCACCTAGGTCACACAGTAGGTAGTAAGTTGGAGAACCAGGACTTGGACCTGGGACACTCTGACTGCAGTCTGAGCTTTCACTTCCTGAGCTGCGCTGTCTCGCTTTGGAGCAGTCATCTCAGAATCCTCATCCTGAGAGCTACAGAGTGGGGTAGGCCAGTTTCCTGGTGAGTGTCCCGGGACCTAATGCTTTGGAGCCTTCCGACAGGTGATGCTCTGTTACCAGCCACTTTAGGGAAGCAGAATATCAGCTCAAAAAGGCCTGAGAGATCAGCCAGGCACGGTGGCTCACGCCTGTAATCCCAGCACTTTGGGAGGCCGAGGCAAGTGGATTTACTTGAGTCCAGGAGTTCAAGACCAGCCTGACCAATGTGATGAAACCCCATCTCTACTAAAATACAAAAAATTAGCCCGGTGTGGTGGCAGGCACCTGTAATCCCAGCTCGGGGGGCTGAAGAATGAGAATCACTTGAACTCGGTGGGGCAGAGGTTGCAGTGAGCTGAGATTACGCCACTGCACTCCAGCCTGGGCGACAGAGCAAGACTCTGTCTTACAAAAAAGGAAAGGCCTGAGAGATCAAGGTTGATCATCTAGTTTAAGGCTTTTATTTTCCAGACAAGGAAACCAGTCAGCAGTAGGATTTCAGGTTCCCAAACTCCAAGTGCTCGCCAGAATACCAAAGTTTAGCTTGTGTATGTTGTAATTTTTTAAAAAGAAAAAAAGGTCGGTGGGGTGTGCTGTTTACCCTTTGCTTTCCAACCGCCGGGATCTTAAATGTGCTTATAAATAAATGTTGTATTTTGACCTGTTCATGGTTAAGTGTTTTTCCTATCTTTTTAAAAAACAGGCTTCCAGTACCAGCCTTGCAAGAGAACTTTTCTTCACTGTTGGGAGTATTGAAGGAGTCTGTACAGTTGAATCTAGCCCCACCTGGGTATTTTCTGCTTCTCAGGTATCATGTCACCACATTGTCATTGTGTAATATTTTCTTTTGGCACATATTTTATTTCTGCGGCATTTTTAATCTGAAGCTGACTGTCTCCCGACAGCATGCTGAATGACTTTGTAACAAGAACTCCCAACCTGGAAAACAAGAAGGATCTAAAAGACCTGCAGGTTTGTATATGAAAGAGGTTCAGCCAAATGATATTACCCCAGCAGTGCTGTCCTCCTTTGGGGATATCAGATAGCAGATAGGCAAGGGACGTTGGACAGAATCTGAGGTTAGCTTTGCACTTGTTCTCAAGTCTTTCTTCCCCCCTCGCTGTCTCTGGAGAGTTCAGTCAGACCTGGGGCCCAGGTTTTCTCATGAAGGTTCTTGTGTAATGCTTGAGCAATCGAATGTGGAACTGACAGCTGCACCCCTCACCCTCCACGCTGTATGCAGATGTATGTGGACCTCACTGTGGAACATAAGTGGAATTAGAAATCTATCTCCCACCGGACGCGGTGGCACACACTTGTAATCCCAGCACTTCGGGAGGCTGAGGCGGGCAGATTGCTTAAGCTCAGGAGTTCGAGACCAATCTGGGTAACATAGTGAGACCTCATCTTTACAAAAATACAAAAATTAGCCTAGTGTGGTAGCTACACCTATAGTCCCAGCTACTCGGGAGGCTGAGGATCCCTTGAGCCTGGGAGGTTGAGGCTATAGTGAGCTGTGATCGTGCCACTGCACTTCAGCCTGGCAACAGAGACCCTGTCTCAAAAAAATAAAAAAAAGGAAGCTATCTCCATACATGGATATTTCTTTTTTTTTTTCTTTTTTTTTGGTGGGGGGGTGGGAGGTTGGACAGAATCTCACTCTGTCACCCAGGCTAGAGTGCAGTGGCACGGTCTCAGCTCACCGAAACCTCCACCTCTTGGGTTCAAGCCATTTTCCTGCCTCAGCCTCCCAAGTAGCCGAGATTGCAGACACACGTCACCACGCCTGGCTAATTTTTTGCGTTTTTAATAGAGACGAGGTTTCTCCATGTTGTCTGGTCTGGTCTCAGACTCCTGACCTCAGGTGATCCTCCTGCCTCGGCCTCCCAAAGTGCTGGGATTCCAGGCGTGAGCTACCACACCCAGCCTCCATACATGGATTTCTTTCCTTAAACGCCTTATCTCCCATTATAACAGTAATATATGCTCATAAAAATTTGTTTAATACTGAAAAATAAAACCCATCCATAGGAGAAGGAAAATTCAGAGTGGAGTGCCAACTAATAAATATGGAAGTTATGATGAAGTTGGGATAATCACTATTTTGCAAACCATTATAGACCTTGATTCAGTTGGCTTTTCTATCATATTTATAGCCTTGGCGATACTACTGCTAATCTTTATGATCCCTGGCATTTGTGAAAGGTATATCCAGAAACAGCCTCAGGTCCGCAGTTCTGAATCACAAAAGTACTGTATAAAGCACAGTAGGCTGGGTACGGTGGCTCACACCTGCAATCCCAGCGCTTTGGGAGGCCGAGACAGGTGGATCACCTGAGGTCAGGGATTCGAGAGCAGCCTGGCCAACATGGTGAAACCCCACCTCTACTAAAAATACAAAAATTAGCCACGCGTGGTGGCGCACACCTATAATCCCAGCTACTCGGGAGGCTGAGGTAGGAGAATCACTTGAACCTGGGAGGCAGAGGTTGCAGTGAGCCGAGATCTCACCACTATACTCCAGCCTGGGTGACAAGCATGAAACTTGGTCTGAAAAAAAAAAAAAATACCATAAAGCATATTTGGAAAATTCCGGTGCCTCCTCCTTTGGCCTTGACTTGTAGCCAGAGAAGAAAACATCATTACAGTGCCGATGCTGCCCGTCCAGGTGCCGGGACAGCACTTGCTCACCTAAGCCCTCCCTGCTTTTGTGGCCTGTTGCCTGTAGCAGGCCCCTCTGTCTTCAGCCTGCCTGGAGACGGCTCTAAGAGGCCACAGACATTCCCTCTGTTGTTGCAGCTGGCACGCCTCTTCTCTGCTCCTTTTGGTTGAGGGGACCAGGTGGCATCTGCTTCTTTCTGTCTCATGACACCTAGCATCCCCAACACTAATTCCTTCCTACTATTTTGAGCCACACCCTATACTTCTTCCCCACTGGGGATATAGAAAAAAACAAAGTGTGATTTTCCTACCACAGTCTCATAACATAGAATACTTCGGTGACCTTGTAACCAAAATGTGTGGGAATTTCTCCCCACCAGCAACCAAGCTAGTAGTTCTGCAGTGGACACTAGATAGGCGTCATCCAGTTCCATTCAATTCTGGCATTCTCCACCTAGAGAGATCTTCAGATCCCGCAGGTTGAGGGCGCAGTCCCACAACACTGCCCCACCCCTTCAGATGCCAATCACAAGCCCCAAGTGTTTTCATCTGTGCTTCTGACAGACCAGCTCTAAATTGGAGTTCCCCCATTCACTCCCTGGGTTCTGTTAATTAGCTGGAGTGGCTCATGGAACTCAGGAAACACATTGAACAGTTTATTTTATTTATTATTTATTTATTTATTTTGAGACGGAGTCTTACTCTTGTTGCCAAGGCTGGAGTGCAATGGCACGATCTCAGCTCACTGCAACCTCCGCCTCCCAGGTTCAAGCGATTCTCTTGCCTCAGCCTTCCGAGTAGCTGGGATCACAGGCATCTGCCACCATGCCCGGCTAATTTTTGTATTTTTAGTAGAGACAGAGTTTCGCCATGTTGGCCAGGCTGTTCTTGAACTCCTGACCTTATGACCTGGCCGCCTCAGCCTCCCAAAGTGCTGGAATTACAGGCATGAGCCACCGCACCTGGCTGACCAGTTTATTATAAAGGAGATTAGAAAGGATACAGATGGGCTGGGCGCAGTGGCTCAAGCCTGTAATCCCAGCACTTTGGGAGGCCGAGACGGGCGAATCACGAGGTCAGGAGATCGAGACCATCCTGGCTAACCCGGTGAAACCCTGTCTCTACTAAAAAATACAAAAAACTAGCCGGGCGAGGTGGTGGGCGCCTGTAGTCCCAGCTACTCGGGAGGCTGAGGCAGGAGAATGGTGTAAACCCGGGAGGCGGAGCTTGCAGTGAGCTGAGATCTGGCCACTGCACTCCAGCCTGGGCGACAGGGCAAGACTCTGTCTCAAAAAAAAAAAAAGAAAGGATACAGATGAATCGATGATTAGGCAAGGGACTTGGGAAGGGGCACGGAGCTTCCATGCCCTCCTTGGGCACCACCCTCTAGGAACCTCCACATGTTTAGCCATCCAGAAGCTCATTCGAACCCAGTTACTTTGGGGTTTGTGGAAGCTTCGTTACATAGGCATGATGGATTAAATCATTGGTCATTGCTGATCAATTTAACCTTTAACCCTTCTCCCCTTCCTGGAGGTTGGGGAGCTGAAGTTATCTGGGGGTCCGCAGCCACAGCCATCTCAGTAGCATACAAAAAGACACATATTACTTTGGAGAATCCAAGGAATTTAGGAGTTATAGCTGGGAAATGGGGAGAAAGGCCAAAAACATTTCCACAATATCACACTCATCCACTCAGTGCTTTCATCGGTCCTTACAGGAACTCCTCTAAGCCCCTAAACCCTTTCCCTGACTTTCCAGCCCTGCCTAAGTTAGCCGATCAGCCTCTTCCCTCAAGCACACCCACCCAGCAGGCAGGTGTGCCCTGCTTCACGCCTCAACACAACTGCTGAGCCTAGGAACCTTGTGGCACAGTTGAGGTCAGGATTATAAAATTCTCAGATGTCAAGGATTATAGCCACTCTTAGCTGATGACACTTGATGACACTGGCTGAGAAGCCAGCTTCAAGTTTGTCTCTCTAGCTACTAACGAGATTTTTTACTGATCATACTCCTGAGAGTGGATGACTCCTCACTTTACCCCACTGAGTCAGTTTAACTTATTGACCTTTATTTCTTGTTATATTATTGAAAGATGCATTTCTAGGACGAACCCGTGGTCCTAGATAAACCAGAAAGCCAATCCACTGAATACAATTTATGGCTTTTTCATCACATGCTGTGATGACTTGCAATCTCTGTATATTTTACCTACATTGGCCAGTATAGTAGCCATTAGCCACAGATGGCTGTTGAGCACTTGAAGTGTGTCTAGTCTACAGTCTGGGCAACATAGGGAGACCTCGTCTCTACAAGAAATTTAAAAATTATCCAGATGTGGTGCCATGCACCTGTAGTCCCAGCTACCCGGGAGCCTGAGGATGGCTTGAGCCCAGGAGGTTGAGGCTGCAGTCAGTCTTTTTTATTTTTATTTTTTTGAGATGGAGTCTTGCTCTGTTATTGGGGGAACCCACCCCCAGTATTTCAATGTAGGTTCTTCTGTTTTCCATAAGTGTTGGCCAGCTGATAAATAAAGAGAGACAGTATAAAGAGAGGAATTTTATAGTTGGGCCACCGGGGGTGACATCACATATCGGTAGGACTGTGATGCCCACCCGAGCCTCAAAACCAGCAAGTTTTTATTAAGGGTTTCAAAAAGGGAGGGGGCATAAGAACAGGGAGTAGGTACAAAGATCACATGCTTCAAAGGGCAAAAAGCAGAACTACTAATAAGGGTCTAACAGAGATCACATGCTTCTGAGGTAACAGGACAAAGGGCAAAAAGCAGAACTACTAATAAGGGTCTAACAGAGATCACATGCTTCTGAGGTAACAGGACAAAG